AGAATTTAACCGTGTCCCCCGCAGCATATGAGAGACCGCCATCCCCTTCGGTAAGGGCAAGCGACTCAAAGCTGGGGGCTGACATATGTTACTTCAAGCGTGACCGAGCCCAGTCCGTGGACACCACCAACTTTTGACTTTGACAAACTTTCCGTCTGTACATTCACACTATCTAATTCGTCTGCACCTCTGCATATGAGATATGACCCTTCGGAAGTCGAGGACACTCAGAAGGCTGGGGCCTACACTATGTTACTCACGCGTGACGAGCACGATGCCGTAGACACCCAATTTGTGGACTTCTTGACAAAAGGTTCTTCTCTCGGCAGCAAGCCGGCCTCTCGAGACGTTTCACGAGCATCCCTCCGAAGGGGACGACTTTAGAAAGCCTGGGCTGACATAGTGTTAATCAGCGTGACGAGCCGAGTCCGTAGACAACCAAAGATGTGGTACTTTCGAGAAGTTTTTGGAAGAAATTATTAAACACAGAATTGAACCGTGTCCCCCGGCAGCATGATGAGAGACCAGCCCCATGGGGCCCATTCGGAATGGCGACGACTCAGTAAGGCTGGGCTGACAGTAGGTTAACAACTCCGTAGGTGACAGCGCGTCCGCGTAGACAACAGACTCGTTGACTTTGGACAACTATTTCCGTTGTGACATTCAATCACAGTCTTAATTGTGTGGCACCTGGTCACATATGAGAATGACCCTTCGGAAAGGGAGGCGACCGTCAGCAAAGGGCTGGGGCTGGACATATGCGTTACTTCAGTCGTGACGAGCCGAGTTCCGTAGACACACCATTGTGGACTTTGAAAAATATAATTTTCGTCGCAGCAAGCGGGCCTCGAGACTCGATAACGAGGCATCCCGTTCCGAAGGGAGCGGGACTTAGAAGCCTAGGGCTTGACATATCGTGTACTTCAGGTGACGAGCCGAGTTCCGTAGACAGCGACAAAACTGTTTGCTGGACTTTCGAGAAAATTTTTGCGAAATATTAAAACACGCAGAAATTTAACCCGTGGTCCCGGCCGCAATATGAGAGACCGCCCAGTGGGCGGCCCGGTCGGAAGGGAGCGACTCGAGGAAGGCTGGGGGCGTACCATATGTTCACTCAGCGTGACGAGCCCAGTCGCGCGTAACACCAAACTTGTGTAGTACTTTTGGACAAACTTTTCCGTTGGTGACATTCACGAGCTCAGTCGCTAAGTGGTGTGGCACCGGTACTCAAGCGATAGAGACGGAGTGACCTTCGGAAGGGAGCGACTCGAGAAGGCTGGGGCTGAATATGAACTCAGACGTGTATGACCGAGTCCGTAGAACACCCAATTTGCTGACGTATTGTACAAATTTGTATCGCGCAGCAAGCGGCCGGAAGACGTTTAACGAAGGCAAATTCCCTCCGATAGGAGCGAGCTATAGAGCCTGGCTGACATATGTTTAACTACAGCGTACGAGCCGATGCGTAACACCAAAACTTTCTGTGGACTTTACGAGAAAAATGTTTTGGGAAATTGATGGTGAACAACGCAACAAATATTAACCGTGTCCCCGCGCAAGCATTGATGCAGAACGGGCCCATGGCTGGCCCTCGGAAGGGAGCTGAGCTCAGTAGGCGTGGGCTACATAGTACTCACGTCACGAAGCCCAGTCCGTAGACACCAAACTTGTGACTTTGACAAACTTTCCCTTGTACACAACACTAGTCTTAATTTTGGATGCAGTCGGACCTCAGCATATGAGAGATACCGCTATCGAAGGAGCGACTCAGAAGGTTGGGGCTAACAGTATGTTACTCAGCGTGACGACCAGAGTCCGTAACACACCAATTGCTTGACTTTTCAGGACAACAAATTTTGGTCGCAGCACGGCCTCGGAGACATTTGAACAGCATCCCTCCGAAGGAGCGACTTAGATAGCCTGGGCTGACATATGTTACTCAGCCGTGACGACAGCCGAGTCCGTAGACGACCAAATTTTTGACTTCGAGAAAATTTTGGAAATTATTAAACACAGAATTTAACCGTCCCCGGCAGCATATGACGAGGATACGCCATTCGGCCCTTGCGGAAGGGAGCGACTCAGAGGCTGGGGCTGACATATGTTCCTCAGCGTGACGAAGCCGCAGTCCGTAACACCAAAACTTTGTGCACTTTGGACAAACTTTTTCCTTTGACATTACACATATCTTAATGGTGTTCACCTCAGCATATGAGAGATGAGACCCTTCGGAAGAGCGATCAAAGCTGGGGCTGACATATGTTACAGTCAGCGTGACGACGATCCGTATGACACCCAATTTGTGGACTTTTGACAAAAATTTTTCGTTCGCAGCAAGCAGGCCTCGGAGACGTTTTAACCGAGGCATCCCTTCCAAGGGAGCGACTAGAAGCTGGGGCTGACATATTTACGTCAGCGTGACGAGCCGAGTCCGTAGACACCAAATTTGTGGACTTTCGAGAAAATTTTTGGAAATTATTATTAAACACAGAATTTAAACCGTGTCCCCGGCAGCATATGAGAGACCGCCCATGGCGGCCCTTCGGAAGGGAGCGACTCAGAAGGCTGGGGCTGACATATGTTATCAGCGTGACGAGCCCAGTCCGTAGACACCAAACTTGTGGACTTTGGACAAACTTTTCCGTTTGTGACATTCACAACTAGTCTTAATGGTGTGGCACCTCAGCATATGAGAGATGACCCTTCGGAAGGACGACTCAGAAGGCTTGGGGCTGACATATGACTCAGACGTGACGAGCCAGTCCTAACACCCAATTCTGTGGACTTTTGACAAAATTTTTCGCTCGCAGCAAGCGGCTCGGACGACGTTTAACGAGGCATCCCTTCCGAAGAGGAGCGACTTAGAAGCCTGGGGCTGACATATGTTACTCAGCGTGACGAGCCGAGTCCGTATACACCAAATTTGTGGACTTTCGAGAAAATTTTGGGAAATTATAAAACACAGAATTTACCGTGTCCCCGGCAGCATATGAGAGACCCCCATGGCGCCCCTTCGAAGGAGCGACTCAGAAGGCTGGGATCATATGTTACCAGCGTGACAGCCGAGTCCGTAGACACCCAAACTTGTGGACTTTGGACAAACTTTCCGTTGTGACATTCACACTATCTTAATGTGTGGCACCTCAGCATATGAGAGATGACCCTTCGGACACGGAGCGAACTCAGAGCTCTGACATATGTTACTAGGGCGTGACGAGCCTGAGTCCTAGACACCCAATTGTGGACTTTGACAAATTTTCGTCGCAGCAAGCGGCCTGGAGACGTTTAACAGGCATCCCTTCCGAAGGGAGCGACTTAGAAGCCTGGGCTGACAATGTTACTCAGCGTGACGAGTCCGAGTCCGTAGACACCAAATTGTGGACTTTCGAGAAAAATTTTTGGAATTAATTAAAAACACAGAATTTAACCGTGTCCCCGGCAGCATGTGAGACTCCTGCCCCATGCGGCCCTTTCGGAAAGGAAGCGAACTCAGAAGGCTTGGGGCTGACATATATTACTCAGCGCTGACGAGCCAGTCCTAGACACCAAACTTGTGGACTTTGGACCAAACTTTTCCGTTTGTGACATTCACACTAGTCTTAATGTCATGTTCGCACCCTCAGGTTATATGAGAGCATGACCCTTCACGAAGGAAGAGCGACTCAGAAGGCTGGGGCTGACATATGTTACTACAGCGTGACCGAGCCGACCGTCGTAGACACCCAATTTGTGACTTTGAACAAAATTTTTCGTCCAGAAGCGGAGCCCATCGAGAGTTTACACGCATGCCCTTCCGAAGGAGCGACTTAGAAGCTGGGGCTGACATATGTTACTACAGCGTGACGAGCCGAGTCGTAGACACCAAATTGTGGACTTCGAGAAAATTTTTTGGAAATTATTCAAAACACAGATTTAACCGTGTCCCCCGCAGCATATGAGACGCCCCATGCGGCCTTCGGAAGGGAGCGATTCAGAAGCTGGGCTACATATTTACTCAGTGCGTGACGAGCCGAGTCCCAGTGACACCAGAACTTGTGGACTTTGGACAAAACTTTTCCGCTGTTGACTATTCACACTATT